TTGAACCTCTCTATCAGTTAAAAAAAATAAACAAAACAAAACAAAAATGCAAGGCTGTTTAAACTACCACATGATAAACTGATTTAAAGTCTACTCTTGGTGTCTTTGTGCGACTACTAGAGTGCTTTTGCACACTTGTGGCAGTGTTGGATCAAAACCTTTTCTTAAATGCACGCACTGAGCACAGGTATCTCTTAAGAGGAACAGCAAGTCCATGAGTATTACTGCTCCTCTGCTTAAAAATGGTGAAGTGCTTCAGGTTGCAGGGAATGGACCTCATGTCTGGCTTCTTTATAGAAGAAACAGCAGAGTATTATCCATTTCTGAAAGGTAATGTTGGAAAGTGGGAAATGTAAGAGTGATATGTAATTCCACAGCTCCTATTCATCTAAATGCTCTTGTCTGTAGAGCTCACTGAAATAAGAAACTTGCTTTTATGAACCAGTGATGGGACAATGCTAGAAGGCAGCAAATTTAATGGTCATTCCAAATGTTCTTATTTACAGTATTTCAAAGAAATGTATAGACTACAAGGCTCAGCTATTAGCAAAGAAAGCTTCCTGCCAACCTCTTCGGCTCAACAAAATGACTTTCCCCTAGTTTTCTGAGTAGATGTATGATCCATAAATCCCATACAGAACCCAGAAGGAATACACAAAGCTCCTTCAATTATTAATCACTAAATGCAATGTCATTCATGATTGTGCAGCAAGCCAGCTGCACTTACACCGTGATGGCTTGCCACGGCGGGGGTTGTCATTAAAGGATGCCAAATGCTTAAAATAAGAAATCATCCATGCTAAACTAGTTGTAAGGTGCATTTATAACCAACTCCTTAAGATCAGCCATTACAAGGAAGCATGTGATGCATTTTAAGTGACAGATACTTCATTTTTAGGGAAAATTTACATTTAAAGATGCTAAAAATTATCATAAATTAGCATAAAATTAAAGTTATTTGATTTTACTAGGCAGCTAATAGTCAGAGCAATGTGGCTCACTAAAAATCACATGCAACTAATTTTCCATTAGAAAATAACAATCAATTCTTGCTCCAAGGAAACAAATACAGGACAGAATAGGTGGGAACTTAAATGGGATTCCTACTGACTATTAGTGATCAAGGCTTCTAACGGATGGGATTTAAACCCAGATGCCCATTTCCATGTTATTAGATCTACTCCTGTTAGTTTGTACCGAGAGATTATCAAGACAAGGAAAGCTACAGTACCATGGAGCAGAGCAACCATGTGCCAAAAAGACATCCCTGATGTGCCCTTATTCCTGAATCTCTAGTGTTTGTTTTCACATAAAGGGGCCATAATTGGGATTCAAAAGCTCTGCCCGTGGGACTTACTCCAGATCCCAATTCTTTGGGCATAAAAATAGAATGACATGCTCAGGGAATACAGAGGCAATGTCCCAGGGGAAGGTGTACTGCCATGGGGTTAGCATCCCACAGGGAAAACTGCAAACAGGGATGATGATACAGAAAAACAGAAGTCCAAAGAAAGGTGCAAAAAAGGAATCACTTTAAAAAAAATAGGGGAGGAAAGGAAATATCAATACACTTCAGAAGAAAGGCTTCTATGGTGGAACTGGTCAGGAAATGGATAGCATTTGCATCTCAGAAAAATCTTTGGGTTTGACTTACATTTTGAAAGATTTCCAACCAGTCCTGCTTGAGGAAATAAAAAAAGGAAGAGAAAAGCACGTCAAAGAGAGAATTAGCAAAGGAAATTTGCAGAAATAAAGAAGTTATACAGGCAGAGTGTTTTAGGATATTCACAGTATCAAAAGTCATGTACCCTGAGAGTAAATTAGTCTGATCTGCATCTTGATACGCAATAGCTCTAACATAAGATGAATTACTTATAACTGATATTCGTAGATTAGTAAGAGTTGAATAAACTAATAGCTAAACCATTCATATTCTGCACGTGCTTCTGAGACATTCTAAAGCTTCACATAGCTCTTATACAACCATATAATCACTAAGAAACTAATCTGTCATCTGTTTAGTTCAATCTAGATCATCAGTGGACAGAACCCCCTGGATTTGAGGAGACAGATTTTGGCTAGCTGAATCTATTCCTGCTCACAGTTCTGCTTGTAACTCTACTACTGAAACAGTAATAGATTTCAAAAACAGTCACTAGCTCTGATGTTTGGATTATTTTTAAATTACAGAGTGGAAGGAAAGGTATTTAGGAATTCTGTGCTATTACAATGAGGTGAAATTTATTTCGAGTAATACCTTATTTTCCCCCATTTTTTGTTCAGAACTTTATTTCAAAATTTCCAGGAACTGACATATTTTCATGGTCTAAAGCACTGGTTTGCCCTTTCAGGAAAGCCTCTAAAGCTTTTCTTCCTACTGACACAGACTATTTTATTTGCTTGAGGGATCTGATCCTAAAGTACTGTGCACAGATGCTTCATAGAATATTTCCATTTGGGTGTAGCACAATGACACAATCCTCATGTAGTGCAGAGGTAGGTCTGGACTTCTGAAAGTCTGACTCCATTTCCATTGTTAATGGCTAGGAATTGTGCTACTAATGTCATCAGAAGCCAGATGGGACTTGCAGAAGATGTATCTCAAGTCAGTAAGGAAATAACATCCTTTGCACAGTGTTGGTGCCTCTACATTTCAAAGAGGTCTTCCTCAGGATGAGGCAAAACTAAGACTGTCATTTTACCAAGCAGAGATATCTTTTCCTTGAATTTCTCTGCTAGCTTTAAAGAAACATAGGTAATCACATTCTGTCTGCAAAATGGCAAGGCGTTTTGCTGAAAAATACTTACTGTATTCCACACTTGAGACAGGTATATTTCTCTGATGAACAAAGCAAACCTATGAGGAGTTTAAGTATCACCTTAATCTACCTCTGACCCTTCTGCACAACACATTGTGTACCCATAGATGACAGGTTTGGTATGTAATTGGAAACACCCAGTTAAAAGATACAAAGAAAGCAGGTAAGTTGGGTTTGTAGATTTTGACAGGTTCCAGGTTTGCTAAAGAAAAAATAAAAATAGCACTTTTTTTTTGACAGTACAGGTAACATAATTTCAAAGGGAAATTCAGGACAGTCAGAACTTTTAGCTACAGGTAGTTGAACTGCTACTTAAAACCACTCCATACCAGCAGACAGGAGGATGAGCAAGCATATGAAAAGTGGTGCCCACTTGCTGCATGATGAGATCCTATCAGGGGTTATTGAGTTAAAAGTCAACAACAACAAGTCAGTCACTCTAGTGACAGAAGCTCTTACAAAGGTACTTCAGAGCGTAATTGTATGCAAAAGAGCACAGTAAATGTGAGTCATGAACTGCCAGCAGTATCAGCAGCAGATCTGAAGTTAAGACAAATGCAGCCCTCTGCATTTTGCAAAGAAAGAATAATCAAGTCAGTCAGCATCATTGTCCTATAGCTACTAAAGGATTCCTTTGGCTCCCAAGGATAACTCATCTTACCTGCTACAGGTGGGAAGGGGAATGCAATGAAAAGATGATTTGGGGTCTGCCAGCAATAAGACCATTGAGAATATATAATTAAGAAGTTATAAAAGGAAATGCCTACCAATTCCATCATCTAAGCAAAAATAATCATTCACAGATAATCTAAGTGAATGATAATAATTGTACTTATGCTTTGGCATCTACTCCGCACATGTTCCTTATGTTTGGTCTATTTAATCACTGCTTGAATGGCTGCTCCAAGGGAGGAAAAAATAAGTATAACTAAAGCCAGCATGAGGAATAGTCATGCTAATGAAAACTATGCCCGAGGAATAATCTAGTAATTGCCCTATAAGTTTAAAGTGAAAATAATCCTAAATAACAATCTTCCATCTTCAAATAAAGTTAGGCACAAAACTCATTCTTGTCACACCCCAATGATCACAAGCTGCATAAGGAACTGTGGCATTAATATCAGAAGAAGAACAGTTATTTTAAAATCTACTCATGATGAGGTAGGTAAGGTTTGTTAGTGCTTCATTTTGGGGTGTTCTGTTTAATTGGGAAAACAAGGGGGAAAACTCTATGTAATTTCCCATTATTTTTTATTTTTAACCTGCAAGAATTTAAAATCCAAGGTCTTTCTAACAAACACCATCAAAAGTAATCTAACCTATTACCTAGGCTGACACAGCATATAAAGAAGTTTGTTTTTTTTTAAATTACCAAGGCTATTTTTTAAGACATCTTCTGCAGAGCAAGCTGGACCAAATTACAAGGCCTATGCTGAATGGTCGCTGAGATTCTCTGTGGGGTGAATTTCCATCAACCTCACCTCAGTGGATCTGTCCACATCAGGCAGATGAGGCTGAGGCTCAGTAGCTCTACTGCACTGCAGCAGGACTTGGCCATCGTCACAAACAACTCTCACACCATGGATAACTGGAGAAAATCACCAACATCATGGTGGAGGCTGTCTGCTGAACAGACTGAAACTGTGCTTCCAACAGCTCTAATATTAGATCAGCTTCCAAGCCTGTGCTCTTCTGAAGCTTGATGTACCTGGTAACACCTTACACCTGTGGAAGGTGATTACATGTGACAGAGCTTCCTGCACCTTGCCAAGACACTTGATAGCAGATACACTGGCCACAGAGACTGTGCCTACGAAAGTGAACACAGAAGTCCTCCTAGGAAAACATTTAAGAGATTTTCCAATGGATGAGGCCATAGAAAGAGCAAGAGCTCACCTTCAAAGCACAACCAATTCCTTGCTGCGTGTAAGGAACTACTGGCTTTGCCTGGTTTCACTGAATACCTTTTTAAGTCAGTGTTTTCTTTTCTACATATCCAGACTATCGCTGCATTTGCTTTTAGGTTCTCTCAGGGAAGTGCATGGGGATATGGTCTGCCAAAAATATATATGATGGATCTCATGTTAGAGACATGCTACACGCTGTGCAGCTTTGAAGCCTTACTTTTCCCTGCTGTCTTTTGGGTGGGTCTTAGACTTGTCAGCCACAACACGGAAAATAGAGATGGTAAACAAGCTAAAAGCCGTGTGAATAAAGTAAATAGAAAGCTACTGTCAAAACATATCCAATTATGCTCTGCTGTGGAGATTTAATATCAGAGGATGATTTTCAAAGTAAAAATAGTGTGGGATGCCTTTTCCATTTGTAGATTAGTTTGGAATGAAAGGCCTATTTGTGCAATTTAAGCCAAATGCACTACAACATAATGATGCTCTCCTCAACTGATAATCTTTATTCATGGAAAGTCATGTTTGCTAAATACTTTGCAGTAGGATTTTTTAACCTAAAGTACTTAATTCAATTGTACTTTATTTTATATATAAAATATAAAGTAATTACATGTAATTACAAGAGAATGACAACACACAGCTACCTTGTGCGGCTCAATAAATATGCCAATACGTTCAGTCACACTGTTGAAGATGGAACAGCACAGTAAACTTTCCAACTGATGGGAGCTAACACAGC